GACCTTCCTCCTTCTGAGGAAGCGTTCGGCCTGTTCTCCGCGCACCTTCAACTCTTTCCAGGTATTGAGCGGCTCTACTCCCATAACGTCCAAGATGTTAATGGACAAGTTGTTATGACAGGCTGTGTTTCCAAGACTACAAAATCTACTGGAAAAATAAAATCTCCAACCTTAATCAGAACATCCTCTAACTCACCCATAGGGACCTTGACAGATCTATCAGCCAACTGTAAGGTGCATTTGGTTGGGTTCAGTACACCTAGACCCAATTGCTGATAGACTGAATATGGAAGCAAATTGACACTGGCCCCTAAGTCTAAAAGCGCCTTATCAATGTGAGTATTACCAATGATACATGAAATGATGGGGGAACCTGGATCTTTACGTTTCAAAGGTATGGGATTTGACAGCATTTCACTGATATTGGCGGCTAAAAAGACTTTCTTTGGGACATTTATTCTCCTCTTCTTAGTGCACAATTCTTTTAAAAATTTAGCATAAGATGGAATTTGTTCAATTACATCTAAGAGAGGAATGTTGACCTTAACCTGCTTGAATGTCTCTAGGATTTTCTCCTCCTGAGGAGAGTGTTTCCTAGACCTGAGTCTATCTGGAAAGGGAGCAACCGGTCTAAATCTATCAAAAGCAGGCTCAGGTTCGGGTTCAGGTTCTTGGTCATCTGAGGGGAGTGATTGTTGAATAGATTCATCAGAAGGAGAAGGAGAAGGAATTTGTACAGGATCAAGAGTTTGACTTGGCGGAGTTCTCACTTGATTATCGACCTGTCTACCTGACCGAAGTGAATGGATTGCATTCACTTGAGCTTCATAGGATGAACTGCATCCTGTGTTATTAGGGTTGACCACGGGTTGACTCGGAAATTTTCCTTTCTCTCTTTCACTCACGGCACTAGCTAGTTGACCAAGTTGGGATTCTAATCTAGCTATAGCTTGAGTGTTGGAGTTGAGCATTTGTCCGGTTGATTGCATGAAGGAATTCAACGTGCTAGATGTTTGAGTCAACATATTCGTGGTTTGAGTAGAGGCCTTAATTATGGTTTCTAAACCCCTTTCCAAGACAT